CAGTGACTCATGCCTGTAATCCCAGCACTTTTGGAGGCCGAGGCGAGTGGATTGCCTGAGCCCGCTGGTTCAAGACCAGCCCGGGCAACTTGGCAAGACCTCATTTCTACAATAAACCAAAAATTAGCTGGGCATGGTAGAGCACACCTGTAGTTCCGGTTACTTGGAAGGTTCAGGCAGAAGGATCGCCGGAGCCCAGCAAGTCGATGCTGGGGTGGCCGTGAGCGTGCCACTGCATTCCAGTCTGGGCAACAGAGTGAGACTCCAACTCAAAAAAAAAATTTTTTTGTTAACATGTCTATCTAAGGATTGTTTGACTGTCTAAGAGAATGTAGGAAGACAATAGGATTGGATCAATAAGTCAAGACTGAAGTATTGCTTTTTTTGTTTTGTTTTGTTTTTTTGCGTAGAGATCTCAGTATGATTAGGCTGGAGTGCAGTAGCATGACCATAGCTCACCATAGCCTCGATCTCCTGGAGCTCAGGTGATACTTCCACCTCAATCTCCCAAGTAGCTGGGACTATAGTTGTGTGTCACCACACATGACTAATTTTTTTTTTTTTAATTTTTGAAGAGACAATGTCTCGCTATATTGCCAGGCTGGTCTCAAACTCCTGAGCTCAAGTGATCCTCCCACCTCAGTCTCCCAAAGTGCTGGAATTACAGGCATGAGCCATTGCACCCAGCCTAATCCTACTACTTCTTACAGGCAACAAGTTACCCCAAGGTTTGTGCTTCAGTTCACACACATACTTTAAATCTTTTATTGAAAAATATATAACATACCATGTATGGCTATTCTGCAACCTACTTTTTTTTTTAACTTACTGATATTTATTGAAAATTGTTCACTATCAGCATTCATAATAGTTGCCTCAATCAAAGGGTGTCTGGTGGCCCACCACTTCTCATCACTCTCACTGCAACCACACACGTCTTGCTCTCCATCATCTCTTGCAGGAGTTGCCCAGCCTCCACTCCTGTCTCCCCACCCCTCTGCAGAATCTTTCAATATGGCAGCCAGAGTGAACCTTTATGTATGTGGGTCAGATCATCTCCCGTTCAGAGCAGAGCCAAAGACCTCACAAGTCCTACGAGGTCCATTCGACATGATCTACTCATCACGCCAGTGGCCTCTCAGCCTTATCGTCAGCCACTGTCCCCCTAACTCACTCCATTCTTGTCACTGTAGCCTGCTTGGAGTTACAAGAACATACTAGGCGCCCTCTTCCCTCAGGGTGTCAGCCCTTGCTGTTCCCTCTGATGAGAGGCCTTTTCCCCAGCGTTTGCATGGCTTCCTCCATGATCTGTTTTATGTCTTTGCTCAAAGGATACTTTGCATTGAACCCTCCTTGACCATCCCCTCCCTCTCCCCCATACACACTCCCATCCCTCTTGCCTACTTTTTCTCCATAGCACTGACCAGCGTGGGACATACCATACTTGTTTACTGTCTGTGTACAACTCCATGAGACCAAGGATATTTGCCTATTTTGTCTACTGTATATTCCAGCACCTAGAGCAGAATCTGGCATAAAGTAGGCTCTTACTAATATTAATGGAATGAATAAATGTATGCTGTACAGTACTTGTATGTTTGTGTCCTATTCACGTGACCCAGTCCACGGTAGTTTAACCATTGCCACATTTTGGGACCTCAATATGCGTTTGGACTCTTGAGACCTTGGTGAAGTTGCTTAACTTCTCAGTCCTGATTTCCCCTCTGTAAACTAGGGCTAATAATTGTACCTATGTTTTATAGGAAGGTTGTGAGGATTAACATTTTTATTTTTAGAGATAATGTCTTGTTCTGTTACCCAGGCTGGAGTGCGGTGGCCTGATTATAGCACACTGACTGCCGCCTCAAACTCCTGGGCTCAAGTGATCCTTCCTCCTCAGTCTCCCAAATAGCTGGGACTACAGGCTTGTGCCACCGTGTCTGGCTAAATTAAAAAAAAAAAATTGTAGAAATAGGACCTTGCTATGTTGCCCAGCTGGTTTCAAACTCCTGGCCTCAAGCAATCCTCCCACCATGGTATCCAAAAGTGCTGGGATCACAAGTGTGAGCCACTGCATCCAGCCAGGATTAAAATTTGTAAAAGAATGTATAGTGGTTAGCATTACGCCTGCCTTATAGTAAGTTCTCAATAATATGATTAAGATTTCTCTCATTAATAATTATTCATCAGAAATGGCTTTATGAAGCCAGGCGTAGTAGTTCGCATCTGTAATCCCAGCACTTTGTGAGGCCAAGGCAGGAGGATTGCTTGAACCCAGGATTTCGGGGCCAGCCTGGGCAGCATAGTGAGACCTCATCTTTATCAAAAAAAAAAAAAAAAAAAAAAAAAAGCCAAAAAGCCAGGTATTGTATTATGTGCCTGAGGTCCTAGTACTTGGGAGGTTAAGACAGGAGGATTATTTGGGTTCAGGAAGTGGAGGGTGCAGTGAACCAGGATTATGCCACTGCACTCCAGCCTGGGTAACAGAGTGAGACTCTGTCTAAAAAAATAAATTAAAAAAAAAAGAAAAAATGAAATGCCTTGTGAGAAGAATATATGGCTAGTCTGTCTATCTATCTATCTATCTATCTATCTATCTATCTATCTATCTATCTATCTACCTATCTATCTATATATCTATCCATCCATCTACTGCCAACTTATTTTTAAACCTAATAGCGTTGAGTTTTAGTGATTATTCCCTTATAGTAATAGAACATAAGGCACTTTGTTCTTTTTTGTTTTCAGAGAAGTCATTCAACATTTTTAGAAAACATATTTTGGTTCTTCAAACATAGAGCACTTTATCTTTGCATGATCACTTGCTAGTTGGTCCCAAACAAAATATTTGCTCATTACGTCTCATTGAATAAATGAATGGAGGAGTGAATCTTAATGGCAAGCTCACATTCATCGAAAAACTGTGATGTGCTAGGCACTGCAGTGGGCACCAGGGGTCTAAAAAAGAACATTTGGTGGTTGACATTTATTTCAAGACCTCCACATAGTAATCACTGCGTTTGGGAGAAATGCATGTTTATTTCAGAAGCAGTTTTCTAGCTGAGGGAGGGGGAATTTGGATTCTTCACCTTGTGCAAACCTCTGAAGAGTTTTTCAGAGAAACAGAATGTCAATGGCTTATCAAGTAGACATCAAGAGTGAAGCCACAGGCACACCAGTGTGGGAAATCCTACGGTGATTCAAGACCTCCACGAATTCCTGTGGTTCCCAGTTAAGTCCCCACACATATTGCTAACTGCCAGCAAGACCATATTTGGTGCAAAACGAGAGTGTCACAGTGAGCCATGCGTCTTGAGGGTGGAGGAAGAGTTCTGACCTGGGTTACAAGACCCAGCTTGGATTATAAGATTTTATCCAACAAAATTTAATGATCTGCGTTGGAATCCAGCTCTGCCCTCTGACATCAAGCAAGACAACTCTGAACCTGTTTCCTCACCATAAAATTATATTTCAAAAAATTAGCCTGCATCTGCCTGGCATGGTGGCTCATACCTATAATTCTAGCAATTTGGGAGGCTGAGGAAAGAGGATTGCTTGAGACCAGGAGTTTGAGGCTGTTGTGAGTTATGAATGTATCACTGCTCTACAGCCTAGGTGACAGAGTGAGACATTGACTTAAAAAAAAAAAAAAGTTGGGCGCGATGGCTCACACCTATAATACCAGTACTTTGGGAGGTGGAAGCGAGAGGATTGTCTGAGCCTGCATTTTTGAGACTAGTCTGAGCAACATGGTGAGATCTCATCTCTACAATAAATCAAAAATTAGCTGGGTATGGTGGCGCATGCCTGTAGTTCCAGCTACTTGGAAGGCTGAGGTGGAAGGATTGCCTAAGCCCAACAGGTCGAGGCTGTGGTGGCTGTGAGCATGCCACTGCACTCAAAAATAATAATAATAATAGCCTGCTTCAAATCCTCCATATTCTGTAAGCCACTGTACAAATGGGACTCTGGTTCTGAAGGGTAACAGAAGCCCTTGGCACCATTCATTTAACACCTACCAGCACTGAGTGCTGAGTGCCTACCAGCACTGGAAACATAGACCACCACAATCCAGATAGGATCCCTTCCCATAACAAGCACATCAGCCACACCGAGGACTTTATCCCTAGGAAGTAACTCAGCAGAATCAAAAATAAAAACGATCCTTGCAGGGGTATCTGTAACAACAAGAAGATTGGAAGTAACTCAGATATTTATAAAAGCAGAATGGTAGGGGGGGTGGGATTAACAGTAGCAAATATCTGTCTGGGGATGGGGAAACACCTCTTATCAACAGGATGCCTGAATGAAACGTAATTGTACACCTAACCCTTAACTGTACCCCACAAAACCATAATAAAAAAATTGATAAAAAAATAAATAAATAAAACAAAAAAATTTGTTGAAATTAAAAAAATAAATAAATAAAAGCAGAATGGCTTCATCATCTATGCATCCCAGCATTTGATATTAAAAAAATATCCGGTGGGCCGGGGGTGGTGGCTCACGCTGAACTTCCGAGGCCTTGGTTGTCAGCTATTTTGTTCTCATACCCAGGGCTGAAATCCCTTCCACGGCATCTCGATTGTCCAGTCTCTTCCTGAGTCCTTGCTACCCCAAACCCAGACAATCTCATTTGGGGTGGAATATATTTTAATTTCCATAAATGTAAGGGGTATAAATGCAGTTGTGTTCCATGGGTACGTTGCAGAGTGGCGCAGTTGGGCTTGCGTGTACCCCGCAACTGAGGAAGCGCCGATGGGACCATTCATTCAACACCTACTCCTGAGTGCCTGCTGACACTGTTGCTAGCCACACACTGGGGGCATAGACAAAGGGGTGTGTGATGGTGACGGGTCACAAAGGATAATGGGGGATAAATGTGGTGGATGAGGAGGTCTAGGCAGAAGCCCTCATGGAGATGGGCAGTTGTCTCCACGCCCTCTCTTTCTCAGGGACTGGAGCTGAGGCTGGTGGAGCTGTCTCCGATGAAGAGAACCATGAGCAGCGAATCTCTGTTACCTTACTACACAGCTAACAACTACCAATCAATGGGTGTGTTCAACACCTCCATGGGGGACCTGCAACGCCAACTGTATAAGGGGGGAGAGTATGACATTTTCAAGTACGCACCGATGTTCGAGAGTGATTTCATTCAAATCAGCAAGAAGGGAGAGGTGATTGACGTTCACAACCGGGTCCGAATGGTGACGGTGGGCATCGCCTGCACCAGCCCCATTCTCCCCCTGCCTGACGTCATGCTGCTGGCCCGGCCTGCTAAAGTCTGTGAAGAGCATGCCAGGCAGGTCTGGTCTGCCAAGGGGAGAGGCCGCAGGCCTGCCAAGATGCTAGAGCTCACCAGACTACTTCCCTTGAAGTTTGTCAAGATCTCCATTCATGATCGAGAGAAGCAGCAGCTCCGTCTGAAGCTTGCCACAGGCCGGACATTTTATCTTCAGCTGTGTCCCTCTTCAGATACCCGGGAAGATCTCTTTAGCTACTGGGAAAAGCTTGTCTATCTCCTGAGGCCACCAGTGGAGAATTACAGCAGTACCCCGACGCTTCAGACCAGGGGCATGACCTCTGAGGACGACAGAAGCCTAGTGGTAAGTATCGACAGAGACACAAGGAAATGGGACAGGGTTCTTTGGGAGGGCAGCTCAGAGAAAGTCCTCTGAGACCTTGGGTGCCTTCAGAGGCTCACCTGGAGAAGGCATGTCATTTGCAAGGGCTCAGGGATTTACCACACTGAGAGGTTCGAGGCCTTCTCCAAAGTGTCCAGAAGGCTGAGTTTCCGAGACCCTAGGTATCGACTGCTCTGGTCTCATACCCAGGGCTGGAATCCCTTCTATAGAATGCCCATTGTCCAGTTTCTTCTTCTTTTTTTTTTTTTTGAGTTGGAGCTTCACTCTGTCACCCAGGCTGGAGTGCAGTGGCTTGATCATGGCCACCGTAGCCTTGACCTGCTGAACTCAAGGCGATCCTTCTGCCTCGGTCTTCCAAGTAGCTGGAACTTCAGGCATGCGCCACCACGCTTGGCTAATTTTTTGACTTATTGTAGAGATGAGGTCTCGTCAAGTTGCCTAAGCTGGTCTCAATCCCATGGGCTCAGGCAATCTTCTCACCTTGGCCTTCCAAAGTGCTGGGATTATAAGCATGAGCCACCACGCCCATTCCTCAGTCTCTTATTGAACACTTGCTACCCCTACCCAGGTAGTCTCATAAATGTTTTATTAATTTGCATAAATGTAAGGGTACAAGTACAGTTGTGTTAAATGGATATGTTGCACAGTGGTGCAGCCTAGGTTTTAGGGACCCCATCATCCAAATAATATATATTTGTCCATTAAGTCATTCTCACCCTTCACCCCAATCCTGCCCTCCCACTCTTCAGCGCTCCCAGTGTCTCTTATTTCACTACTGTGGGACATTTTTAACAGTGAGGAAGTTCTTCCTTCATTCGAGTCGTGGTCTGTCTCCCTGTGACTACCATCTACTGATTTCTGTGTAAATTAACACGTGTGCATACATGCGCACAATCTTAGCAGCTTCCAAAATGCGCAATGTGTATATCTCTTGACCCAGCAATTCTACTTCTAGAAATCTGTCCTGCAGAGTACACGTGTGTAAAGCAAAATGTCCAAGGCTGAGGACTCTGGTGCTGGAATTTTTCAACCAAAACTGAGTGACCACTGACAGTGGTGCTGTAGGTGGAATCTTGCCACAAACAGGAGCAAGTCTTAGGCTTAGACTTGATGAGTCCCAAGGTTCTTCTAGGTACAAAGTGTTCAGTTCTAGGATGAGAGGGACCAGGCAGTTCTGGCCCCCCTTTCTGTCATTCCCATCTCACCTGTTTCTTGTCCCCAGGCACAGGCTGGAGAGCTCCAGGGAGAAGGTGATCGGAATGAGACTGGAGTCCACAAGCTGTGTGAGGTGTCAGCTGCCAGCTCTTCTGCCTACGCTGGGGGAGAGGGAATCCAACGCGGAATGCCCAGTGCAGCTTCTGTGGCCACAAACCCTTCAGGGACTACTGCGGGAGCAGCAACAGGGGCAGCAGGCGGCCTGGCAGTGGCAGGGACAGGAACAGGCCCCAGAGGAGGCATGGCACTCGCAGGGGCAGCAACACGCCCTGCGACAGGCGCCATGAGCATAGCGGCCACCAAGCCTGCAGGCTCGGGCGAGGGCACTGCGACCCTGGTGGGAGCAGCCACCAAGAGTGCAGAAGCCGGTGGATCCAGCAAGGCTGTGGCAGGTGCCACCAACATATCCTCAGGCAGCATGGATGTGGTCCTGGTGGGTGCTGCCAGCGCCTCCTCTGCGGGAACTTCCACCACAACAGCAGGGACTGCCAGCCTCACCCAAGACAGCAGCTTGAGTGTGGCGTTTGCAGGTTCCATGGCGACCGGCAAGCCTGGTGCAGAAAGAACCGAGGGACCCGCGCTGGGGCCCCTCGTGTCCACCTTGCAAAGTGAAGGCTACATGAGTGAACGTGACGGAAGCCAGAAGGTCTCCAGGTCCAGTGCTGATGCCCGGAAGGAAAAAAAGGAGAAAAAGGGAAAGAAGGACAGAAACCATAGCAGGAAAAGTTCCCGTCACCATAGGACAGGGGAGAGTCACCACAGGCTAGGAGGGGACAAGACCCGGAAAACATCCTCCCACCGGTCCGTATCTGGCCACAAGCACAAGAGAGATGACAAGAAAGAAAAGGGGCAGCCCAGTGCCAGGGGCAAGGAACATGGCTCTTCTCGCAAGAGCTCCAGCCACAGTGCCACCAAGAAGGAGTCAAGGATGACTCACAAGCTGGGGAAGAGTCGGTCTGCAGCGAGCTCAGGTACTTTAAGCAAGAAAGCCAGTAAAATCAGCTCTTTTTTTAGGAGCTTCAGAGCCACCCCTAGTTCAAAAACAAGGGTTGCATCCCACGATCGGGAGGTGGACATCATGGCAAAGTCGGTGGAGAAGCGCAACATTGAGGCCAAGGTGGAGAAGACCCCGGCCGGCCAGGAGCTGGAGCTCATCAGTGGCACCGTGACGTCCGAGACCACGGAGATGATCATCATTGAAACCAAAGCCGTTTAAAGTGCCAGGGTTCAGGGAAGTATTCTAAGGGACCTACCCTGGCTTCCCTGCCCACAGTTTAAATAATAAAAGAAACCATACCACTCCAAAAGAAATGCGATGTTCTGTTTGAATTTTTCTGTGCCATAGCCTGGCAGTGACCTCACAGTGGCTTCTGTGACGGCGACTGTGCTGCAGCCTGAGGCCCCAGCCTCCAGCCAGGTAGAGCTTGCTCTCACCTGTGCCTGGCAGCCAGTGTGAGTGCCCTGCCTTGCCTCAGGCTCTTTCTGCCTTTGTAACCCCGAGATGACTGTGAGCTGGGGTGCTCTACCACCATGGTGTCCCTATGCCCATTCTTCTCAGGACCCATGAACACGGACATTCAGTCCGTAGACTAAGCAAAGACAGGATTCCTATCCCCCCAGGGACAGCCAGGGGACCGAGGACAGGGTACAGTTGCATTTGTAGGAACTCTCTCCCTCTAGGTCAGGGATTGGCAGACCGTGTTCTGAGGACCCAATCTTGCCAGCAGCCTGGATTTGTGAATAAAGTTTTATTGGAACATGGCCACAACCGTTCATTTGTATATTGTCTAAGGTTGCTTTCACATGAGAACCACAGATTGGAGCAGTGAAGGTAGAGATCACATGGCCCACACAGACTAAAGTATTTATTATCTAGCCCTCTATAGAAAAAGTTTCCTGACTCTTGATCGAATCTTAACAATTCTCCTTTCTCCTAGGTATAGACAGTAGAGAAATTTTCACATATGCTTACCCGGAGACAGTGAAGAGAACATTTATAGTAAAATAATTTGTAGTGGCAAAACCCTAGAAATAGCCCAAATGTTCCTCAAACAAGAGAACTGACAAATTGTGTACTATACCTATAGTGCATATTACAATGGTGAAAATGAATAGCAGTTATACAACGGGGGACTCAAAAAAATCCAGAATTTATTTTTTAAATTCTGTATTATTACATGTTTAAATTTCAGTCACCTTCAAAGTACTCTTTGTTTGATATAATACACCTATCAAGACACCTTTTCCACAGCTCAAAAAGGTTTTTGAACTCATCGATTTTGATGCCATTTTTTTGTTTCACTTCTTCCACATCAGCAAAACGTTTCCCTTTGAGAACTTTTTTCATCTGGGGAAACCAAAAGAAAGTTGCTTGGGGTGAGATCGAGTGAATAGAGAGAGTGAGACATGGGGTCATGCTGTTTTTGGTCAAAAATGGCTGAACACTATGGGCAGATGTGCTTGTAAATCACTCATCATGAAATGGGCAAACACATTGCAAGAATTTCCACACAAAAAAAATTAACTGAAGTCGACTCAGTCTCTCACAACAATGCTAGCTGGTACACTGATGCCAATGGGTTCCTAGAACACTTACCTAGAGGAAGAAGCCTGTATTACAAGGGACCCATCCTCCAAAAGATAATTACAGTTTTTTGGGGAGGTCCCCCTTGTACACACTGACATGAATGAAATTTACATAATGTTTATAGTTCCATTTAGAACAGCTCAAAAATAAGATCAGACAATGTTTGGGGGTATGTATTTGCTAAAAGTATAGAGAAAAACAAGGGAATGATAAACACAGAATTTAGGATAGTGGCTACAAGGTGAAAGGAGGGATGTCTGTTGTTGGAGACACATATGCAGAATTTCAACACAACAGGAATTATTCCATTTCTATTTTACTTAACAAACAGAATTTGAGAGATTATTGTTTATCTTTATTGTAACATCTCTGAAATCAGGATTAATTTTTAAATTGCTGCCAGCCAGGTGGCAATTGTATGTTATTATCAAAGTCTTAGAAATGCCCTAGTCAATTTATTTCACCAATATTTCCTTTTTACATGTGTGTAAAACAGATTTATGGCAAAACATCTAAGTCTGAAAAGATCTTTCAATAAATATAAAATAAAAATTCTGTGCTGGGTACAGTGGCTCACGCCTGTAATCCCAGCACTTTGGGAGAGGGAGGTGAGAGGATTGCCTGGCCCAAGTTTTCAAGACCACCCTGGGTAACTTGGCAAGACTTCGTCTCTATAATAAACCAAAAAATTAGCTGGGTGTGCTGTTGCATGCCTGTGGTTCCAGTCACTTGGAAGGCTGAGGCAAAAGGATCACCTGAGCCCAGCAGGTCGAGGCTGCATTGGCTGTGAGTGTGCCACTGCATTCCAGCCTGGGTGACAGAGTGAGACTCCAACATAAACAAACAAACCACCAAAAAATCTAAGTGACATAAAAAAGAATATTCAGGATACAGAAACTTGGAAAATGTTTAAATGCATTGTTAACATATAATAAAACAGTTCAAAATACTGTGTACTTATAAATTCTGTGATTATGTGTACACGTGGAAGTTAATCCCCAAAATAAAAAGTCATACTACATTAGAAATAGGATTATAAATTTTAAAAACCTCTATTGTAAAAAATTATATTGTCTTTCAATTTTTAAAAATATCTGTAAAATGAGTCCATGAAATCATTAAGTTGATACAGATGATACAAGTTGGGTTGGGAAAAAATGATTCTGGGAGCCTGTGTGTTTGTATGGGTCCAGGAGGGGGCGCCTGTCCAGCCTTGCAAGTCTCTGCTCATTCTCTGCAGCAATGGTATCTAGAAGGACAGGAGGTGGGTTTCCAGCAAGACTTACGGACCTTCTCTGAAGAGCAGATGTGTGTAGTAGGGGCGGAGGAAGTGAGAGGTATGGTGTTCTGGGAGGCGTGGTGGCTTGGCAGCACTAGGGCAAGTCCTCGGTTGCTCTGGTGGGCAGTTGGAAAATCCCACTTTGTGACTTTCGATAGAGACCACTAGATGCTGAGATTAAGATGTCCTAGAAATTGACCCTTGAAACAGTGGGTACAGGTAGAGGGAGAGAGAGGCACATTCTCCAAGATCTGAGAAGGCCTCTTGGGAAGCCTTGCGGGAATATAAAAGGCTGGCATGTGGGGCTGAGGATGGACGCAGAGGGGAATTCTTTCCAGATCCCTTGGGCTGGAGTTCCATATTTACTGCTATGCCAGAGGCTGACTTGTTCCAGCCACAAATACCTTCATCTCATGAGTATGTAGACCGTGACTTTAGCTTTTGTCCTTTCCCTCGTGTTGTTTTGTGCACCTGCCCTATCTGAAGGGCTTCTTCAACATGAATACAGTCTATCCACCATGTAGTAGGGCATCAGTTGAGCAGACCGGCAATTTACGCAAACACACCTGCAGTAAAGTGGGGGTGGGGACTTGCCCACCACAGGGAGCTCCACCATGCACCTTCTCTGCATTTCCTTTTCTATCTTGATGCTTCATCAAGAGACGTATGCACAAATACCTACGTTTTTCAAAGCAGCAGGCCTCTTCCTCCGGAGGGAGTTATCAATTGGGGCATCAAGTCAATATCCCTATCAGATAAAGGCCAATATGTTCAACAGCAATATTTATCACCGTGGCAGCAATTCTGCTGCTACAAGCACAATGAGACATCGGATAGTTGATGACTAGCCAGTGTCCCAATCTTATACTCTGTCATACACACATAAGTACAAAAATGGCTGAGGGATTTTTTGCCTACAGCCATCTAAGATCACTTGTGGGGTTCCCATGCTGGAGTGGGGTCTTTCAAGCAGAGGAAACCAACACTATTCTGGGAAGAAGCAAGGCACCTCAAAAATATGGAAGGCAGGCCATCATGGCTGGCAGGGCAAGAACGGAGGGAGCAGCAGAGGACAGGCTGTGCAGGACTTTGAGGTCCATGTAAGGGATTTTGACTTCTGTCCTTAGAGTAACAGAAAGCCACGGAAATATTTCAAGCTGGGAAGAGGCTTGATCAGATTTGCACTTCATAAAGTTCACTGTGGCAGCTGTGAGGAGAAATGTTTGGGAAGGTGCTTGTTCATGTGTCATTTCACTTCCTGTCTTTTGCCACAGAATCTGTAAACTGAGATTAGACGGGATGTTTTGAAAGATGTGTTCCCGTTAGAGATATCTATGTGGGGTAGACACAAGGATGTACCACTTGTGCCCCTAGTTGCTGGACTTGTGGCCCCAGTTGCTGAAAATGCTGCCCATGGGCAGCTTCCCGCCAGCTGCGAGTTTGGAAACTGTGTCAGCTGTAGAGATACTTGTTCATCTGTGGTGATACTCTCCCAGAGCACACGTTAAGAGCTGAGTAATGTGGAGAATGAAGGTCTGGCCATCTCAGCCCAACACAGTCCAATTCGAAGGACTGTTCTGGTTCCGGAGCTTCCTGTGGGGCCAGAATCAAAGCCCAACTTCTCCCTTCAAGTACCCTACTTCCACCCTACCCCTGCCACAGGTTCGTGTCCTAAGAGTACTGCTTAATAAACATCCTTCCCACAAAACTTCATCTTGAAATCTGCTTCCCAGTCCAATGATGTGACTGACCTTGGCCTCCAAGAAGTTAATGGGCTGAACAGGGATGGGCCAGGGACTAGCATGTGTCATCACCCCCCATGGGTGCCATGTGAGACCCAGCTAGCCATCCACACTCACAGGGGGGCTGCCATCGCCAGCCTAAGTGGAAGCCGCGTGGTGGTGAGGAACACCGAGGCCTGAGGCACGGCTCGTGGTCCTCATTGGCTGGTCCTCAGTGCTCCCCCATGTCCACATGCCTGTGCAGCCAGCCTGTACTCATATCCTGCTCTCCTCCCACTTTTCCTTCCTCCACTCCAGCACCTGGACCCCGTGGCACAGTCCACCTCCTGACCTTTAAGGAATGGGCAGGATCCCACCTCTGCACAGGTGCTCCATCACTGCAAGAAAAAAAAAAAAAATCTGCTTCCTAGAGAACATAGCCCGTGACATTATGTTACTGTAGTATGCCAGGGTAACCTTTTGAAAAAAAGCTGATAAAAGCCAGGGAGGGTATAACATAGCACATACAATTCTGAATTTTAATCATTTTATTAAGTTCAATTGCTTATTGAAAAAATACTGTGTCTATTTAAGAAAATTTTAAATGTGGATATAAAAAGAAAGGAACA